TGGCCCTCAACATCCCGCTGGCGTCATCCGCGCTGGGGCTGGGTTGAGATCCACGCGAAAGTGCCGAACGGGATGGGGCGGGCTGGCGGCGCATCTACTTCGGCGCCCTGGCATGCCGAGTGGAGAATACACTAATCAGGCCAATCCATCGCATGAGGTGAAAAGCCGCAGCTGGGACCACCTTTGGATTACCTGCGAAGCTGATCATCTTCCAAGACTCTGGGTCTAAGCTGATTGGATCGGGAAATCGTTCTTAGAATAGCATCCAAATCAACGCGACGAGCGAACACGGTAATGCCATGAACATTTCAGCTGGGCACTGGTCTACGCCGCCGCGCATGCCCCTCCGCGTGCTTCCCCTGCCTTCCAGCGCGTCGCGAAGATCGATGTCAAGCTTCCGCCAACCATCTAAAAGTTGTATCCTGGTTGAATGCGAGAGCGACTGGAGACGAAGATGCTGCGCTTGCTCGTTTGTGTCCTGATCCTCGAAGCGCTCCTCTCCGAAACGGTGCCCTCCCTTTAGCCGCGACGTCCTCTCTGCAGTGTGTGCTCCTACCTGCATGGTCAGCGGCGCTGGCTTGCGCGCTCGCCCACGACCCTGAGCAGCGAGTTCCAACTCCGTCTAATGTATGCGCGCTCTCCGTCGTCTTTACGTCTGCGAAAATGTCGCACCGCGTGCCGATGATCTTCAGGGGACGCCTGATTCAGGGCGTGTCGAGTACTTATCAGATCGGTGTTTGCCGTGTTTTTTGCCCCAGCCATCTACGATCCTACAACCATCCTCCGGAAGGCCTCAGGAGGGTTCCCTTTCGAAGACCTCACTAAATCTTCCTCAGGAAGGTTTCAAAATGGTTTCCACCTGAACGCGTCCCAGAAACCATCTGCGAGAGGGTTTCAGGAGGGTTTCGCTTTCGACGTCATTTTAAAACCTGCACCATCATGTTTTTGTAAATCGGTTGTGAGGCTTTACAAAGAATCCTCCGGACACCTTCTTGAGGAAGGAACTTGGGGAGGATTTTGGAAGTTTTTCCGTGGCTCCAGGACGGGGGGGGGGTATGTATTTTTTCCGACAAACACTCTCGCTTGCAGCGACTTCCGACGACCTTCCGAACGCCCCCCAACGACTTTCCGAACACCTTTCAAAAACTTCTACACAGCTTCCAACGCGCCTGCCGGAAACCTTCCAATACACCGACACCTTCCAAGACCCATCGAAAAACCATCCTAACACCTTCCTCAGGAAGGTTTTCGGAAGATTCCTCCTCGAGCCTTCCAGCGACATTCCTCCCCCCTGAACTTCCCGAACACCTTCCTTTCCAGAAAGGTTCCTCGTATAAACCTCCCTAAAACCTTCCCCAGGAAGGTTTTCGGGCGATTTGTGGAAGATAGGAGATTCCCCCGAAAACCTGCCAAAAACCTTCCTCAGGAAGGTTTGGGGGAGGTTTTTGAAGGAAATGGAGGACTCCTCGGGGACCTTCCTAACACCTTCCTAAGGAAGCTTCTTGGAAGGTTTCTGGAGGATTCCCCCAGCAACCTTCGACAACCTTCCTCCGACGTGGTATTTGGCATTTTTTTTTTTTTTTTTTTTTGTTTTTCTTCCTCTCTCTCTCTCTCTCTCCGGATTCTCCCTGAAGCCTTGGAGATAACTTTCCCCTGGGAGGTTCTTGAGGCGTTTTTAGGGGGGCTCCTCCTAGAACATGTCAAACACCGTCCTCAGGACGGTTTCTCCTGAAACCTTCTAACAACCTTCCCCCGGAAGGTTTTTGGAATGTGTCTTGGCTGTTCCAGAAGGGCTTCCTTCTAAAAACCTTCCTGGAACTTCCCCCAGGAAGGTTTCAGGGGGGTTTCCTCCTAAACGCGGTCCGACAACCTTCAGGTGTTGGAGGGGGGGGGGGGGGGATTTCATCAGCGACCTTCCGAAACCCTTTCTCTGAAAGGTTAAGGTTCCGCCTGACACTTTCCGGAGACCTTTCCCAACAAAGGTTTTCGAAGGGTTTTCAAGGGATTCCTCCGTCAATCTTCAAAATATCTTTGTCAGGAAGGTTTTTTTGGAAGGTTTCTGATATTCATCCGAAAACCTTTCAACGCACATTCCCCGGGAAGGTTTTTGAAAGGTTGCTTGATGGTTCATCCTAGAACCTCCCAAATAACCTTCCAACTAACCTTCCAAGACCTTCAAAACACCTTGCAGATACCTTCCCCCGGAAGGTTGTTGTAAGTTTTCTTTTCTGGGGATTTTAACTGCAACCTTGCAGCAACCTTCGTCAGGAAGGTTGTTGGAAGGTCATTCGAAGATTCTTCCCAACATCTTCCAAACACCTTCCCCGGGAAGGTCGTGGGATAATGTTTGGAGGATTCCTCCTGCAACCTTGCAAAAACCTTCCTCAACAATGCTCATATGATGTCTTTTGTTATCAGATTCCTCTTCCAGAAGCCTTCCAAAAACATTCATCCGGAAGAAACCTCCCAAAAACCATCCTCAGGCAGGTTTTTTCGTGGGAGTTTTTCCTCCTCGAATCTTCGACCAACCTTTGTCAGGAAGGTGTCAGGAGGGGTCCGCCGAACTGCTGCGCCCACCTGCTGGGCCGATGCCGAACACCGGCTGGCCCTCACGGGGACAGGTCCGCGATGGCCCTGGAGGAGTTCCGCGCGGAGGGGCAGGCGCAGACCGCGCGGCCGTCCCTCCCGCGCCTTTGCCGCTGGTCGTGGGGAGGCGCGACGCGGCGGCGCGCCGCTCCGGACTGCTGGCGGCCGTGATCGCCAAGACGGGCCACAAGGAGCTTAATGCACTGCAGCGCGGGGCTCGGAAGTCAGCGCCGAGGCAGCGGCCTTCCCACCGGCGCAACCCCGCGCCGTCGCGGTGCCGATCGGGTGGGCCGTCGCACTTCCCGGATTGCGAAGTGGAGGCGTCGCGCAAGGGGGATGCCGTTGCCGATGGCGCCTTCGGCGACGGCGGTGGCCTTGACGGGGCACCCAGCGGCGAAACGCACACGTGGACGAAGAGGTCATAGTGTGGCTCATGGCAAAGTTGCGGCAGACGAGGAACGAGCTGGCGAGGCTCACTTGTGTGGTTGGCGCGGAGTAGCCGGCGGCCGAGCGTTGTGCGTCCATCTCCTTGCTGGAGGCGCGCTCCCGCCAGCAGGGGGTCGAGGCCGCCGTCGGCGCCAAGTTTTGCAAGCTGGCCGACCTCCAGGCGGAGCTCGGCGTCGCTTGCTCGGACCCGTCCGCGCCGCGCGGCGGGCCGCCCTGGCGGCGGAGCGCAGAGCCAAGGCGGGGAAGTGAGGCCGCGGGCGGGGGCGGCGAGTACCGATGGCGGCAGCCACGCGGCGCCGCGGCCCACCGCCATCCTTTCCGCTTTGATGTCGTGGCGCGACGGGTGGCGCGAGGGTTGCCCCTCGCGCCGAGGCTCTCAGGGCCGCTTGGGCCATCAGGGCTGCAGTGTGTGGTGCAGTAGCCTGGCTCGTGGCTGGAAGCGCGGGCCCGAATTCCCAGCGCGGGTGCGAAGGTCGCCGTGCTTCGCCTGGGGGCTCGCGTTGGCCTCGTGTCCGTCTCCCTGCGGTGCAGAGCCTGCTTGGGGATGTAGAGTCAGAAGAAAGGGGAGTGAACCCTCATTCCCCCCCCTTTCTTACAAACGTACAGTACCACCGCCACCACCATCATCATCATTATCAGCATCAGCATCATCATCGTCGTCATCATCATCATCGTCATCATCCTCGCCATCATCCTCGTCATCATGCTCGTCATCATCCTCGTCATCGTCATCATCAGCAGCAGCAGCCGCATCATCACCATCATCTCAAGGCAACATAGGGAGCTCCACCGAAGGCCCTGGTGGCAGGGTTTGCATGCGGTTCCACGCCTATCTTGACACACATACACACACACACCTCACGCGCTTCGTGGCCCTACAGGGAGCTATACCGAAGTCCCTAGTAGCAGGGTTTGCATGCGGTTCTACCTCCATTTCGGCACAACCCTCGCACGACTCATGGCCCCATAGGGAGCTCCACCGAAGGCCGCAGTGGCAGGGTTCGCATGCGGTTCCGCCACGATTTCGGCACACCCCTCACACGTTTAGGGCTCCATAGGGAGCTCCACCGAAGGCCCCAGTGGCAAGGTTCGCATGCGTTTCCACACCAATTTCGGCACACCTCTCGCACGTTTCATGGCCCCATAGGAAGCTCCAACGATGGCCCCAGTAGCTAGGTTCGAATGCGGTTCCACCACAATTTCGGCACATCCCAAACGCGTTTCGTTACTCCATAAGGAGCTCCACGGAAAGCCCCAATGGCAATGTTCCCATGCGGTTCCACCACCAATTCCGGCACACCCCTCACACGTTTCGTGGCCTCATGGGGGCTCCACCGACGGCCACGATCGCAAGGTTCGCATGCGGTTCCACGTCCACGTCGGCACACCCCTCACACGTTTCGTGGCCTCATTGGAAGCTCCACCGAAAGCCCAAGTGGCAGAGTTCGCATGCGATTTCACCCCTATTTCGGCACACCCCACACACGTTTGTTGCCACATTTGGAGCTCCACTGAAGGCCCTAGTAGCAGGGTTCGCATGCGGTTCCACCCCCATTTCGGCAAACCCCTCACACATTTCGTTCGGCAAACCCCTCACACATTTCGTGGCCCCATAGGGCGCTCCACCGAAGGCCGCAGTGGCAGAGTCGCATGCGGCTCCGCCACGATTTCGGCACACCCCTCACACGTGTCGTGGTCCCAGAGGGAGCTCCACCGATGGCCCAAATGGCAAGGTTCGCATGCGGTTCCACGTCTCCTGAACGAAACACGCCTCCGTTCACCGTGTTGGACGGACTGCCCGCGGCGGCTCGGGTGGGAGACGCGCGCTTTCCTCACAGAGAGCGCGCGTGCTCGAGAGTCTGCATTGGGTGCCCGTTGCTCTCTGCGTTTTCCAGCCTGGCCAGGGTCTGCTTGCTCGAGCTCGGCTCCCCCCCTGCGCCCTCAGAGGGGCTCCCGGGGCCGCGGGCCTGGGCGGCCTCGGGCTCGGCGGCCTCCCCCTGGCCCTGCGCGCACAGCTCCTCTCGGAGGCCCATGCCCGCTGCGTCCGCGTGGCCTCGCGGCGCGGTGCCCGCAGGGATTGCGGGCCGAGCAGTCTCTCCGCAAAGCCGATCACCGGCGGAGGGGTCGCCCAAAAAGGTTGCCGAAGGGTCGCCAGCCAGAGGGATCGCAGGCCAGGCGATCGGCGATCGGGCGCTCCCACTGGCTGCCGACTCTCTCACCCATCACGCCCGCGCTCTCGCTTTGGCCGCCGCCTTCGGTGCTCCTCCCAAGCCTCCCTCCGCCTGCCTACCCTGTCCTTCCTCCCTCGCTCTCACTCTCTGACTCTCTCTCTCTCTCTCTCTCTCCCTCTCTTGCTCTCCCTACAGTCCCTCATCTGTCCCTCCTCTCCCCGATCCAGCCCTCTCGCCTGCCCACTGTGGCGGATCTCCAGATGGCAGCTCAGATCAGTCCCGCCGATCGCTCATGGTCTCAGCGGTCGATCGCAGCGGCAGATGCAGCATTCAGGAGCTGTAGGAACGTTGTCGGCCAATCGCGCGGCAAACCACGCCAAACACACGGCCATCCATCACAGAATCAGCGGCTCCCGCGATTGAGCTACCGAGCGAGCCACCTTCTTGGACTGTCAGCACCGTGCTCTCGAGCTGCCAGCGGTCCCCCGAGTGACGCCACAACTCCATGGTCTCGCCAAAGGTGTGGGCAAAATTCACCTTTCCCTTGACCAACACGGTGTCATCGTCCACTGCAATCCGGGACCATGCGGCGTCCTGGTAGGCACCCCAGGATTCGAGTTGTACGCACGTTTCCCAGAAGCGGATGATGGCATCCCTGCCCCGAATCTGGCCATCGTGTCTGGATACCTCCCCGCAGTCGAGGAGTTTCTGCCTCTCCGTCTCCTCCCCGCCTTTCGGGCCGAATGCGATCCGCAAAGACGCGTCCTCTGCGTACGCCTCCTCCAAGATCTTGCATTTATTGAAATTTTCCCTCCACGCACACGCATACAAGAGCTGGTCCGCTAGAACCTGGTGATCGGTATGCAGCCGGGGGGTGGTAACCGCCAGCGTGATCTTGTGCGCAATGAGTGCAAGGAGGTATGCACAACTCCCCATATCCTGATGTGCCGACCTGTAGGCAGCGCGTGAACGCGAGTTTCACCTGCGCCTGCCCGCAAGCGGCTGCTTTGAGCCAAGTGCGGCAGGGACAGAAGTCCCCCCTCCTGGATCCTCGTCTTTGTCCTGTCCCCTTACTCACGTCAAGCATGATGATGGTGATGACGGTGGTAGGTAGATCTGGCGACTACGATGAAACAAATTTGGATGTTGTGGCGCATGGGAAATCACATATATATAGATGGGAAGGAGAGTGGGGGATGCTGATGCGGAAGAGGAGATGATCCGGACGTCGGCGATGCTTTGCGTGTGCCCTGCCATCTGCCCGATGGTATGCCTCGAGCTACACGCTCACGATGTGGGACGATAGGCCGAGGGGCGCACTGGGCTGTGGATGCACGGTAGGATGAGTAAGACGAGGGTAAAAATGCTGTTCCCCAAAGCAGCTTGTCTGTACGGGCTCTCTCGCTCCGTTCCCAGAAGCCACGAAGTGCGGCCCGATCTGGAATCGGTCGGGCGACGTTGTCTCCTAGTGTCTACCAGTAAGTACCTCCCGCTGCCTCCCATGGCCTCCCGTGGCCTGCCTCTGCCTCTCGTGGCCTCCCGTTGCCTCCCGTGGCCTCCTGTGGCCTCCCGTGGACTCCCATTGCGGTCCCTATCCGTAGCCCTATCCCATATCCCCATCCCTATCCATAGCCCTATCCCCATCCCGATTCCCATCCCGATTACTATACCTATCCCTATATCCTTATCCCTGTATCTCTTGCCCTATTTACCTTGCCCTATTCCTACCCCCCTATCGTGTTCCCCCATCGTGGCCCCCTATCCGAGCGTGGCCCCCATCGTAACAGTGTAAAGCTGTTTTGGGTCTTCCTGTTGCAGGGGCACCATTGTTGTTTGTGACGCGACGCACGGACATTCAAACAGCCTGCGCCTGGCCACGACCTAGGACCCACCGCAACGCGCGCATGGCGCGCCGACAAGAACAAGGACGCTTGGCCAACGCAACTGAACACGGTGGACCGGTCGAAAGCAGCCGATACAACGAAACCAGATAAAGGGTAACTATACACCAGTTAACAAGCGTACAACATATTATTCGGATTCAGCTTGAGCCACGATCCTCTTAAGCCCAAACGGCTACGGACGATTATAGGGATGATGATGATGATGATGATGATGATGATGATGATGATGATGATGATGATGATGATAATGATGAAGAGGAGGAGTAGTGATAAGAGGGAAACAACGCATGAGAGGATGATGGGTAAGAAACACAGGAGCACCTGCCGTGCGCCCGTGGCCGGCCACAGGAGTCGTCTTGCCTACCATCCCCCGATCCCCGACCTCGACTTCTCGGTGATGAAGTTCCCTAATCCTCCTCATCTTCCTCCTCCTCCTCTCTGCCTCTTCCTTCTCCTCCCACTCCTTCTCCTGCGCCTCGTTACCTTCCTCCTGCTACGTATTCCCCCCCCCCTCCCTCCATCCCGCCCTCTCTCCCTGGCTATTTCCCCCCCACCCACCCCCTTTCCTGATTCTCCCTCCCTCCCTCCCTCTCTCCTTGCCTCCGCCTTCTTCTTCTCTTTCTCATTCTTCCTCTCCTTCAGACTTTTTCCTACTCTTCCAGGTCTGGCCAAACCTTTGGGCCTCTATCACTCCAAGCCGAAATTGATACATCTGCGACGCCAGGACGAGTACTGTATTGCATTGACCCGGCCCAGGCGTCCGAATTGCACACTGCATTACCATGTATTGTCTGTCTCCCGCAAGGAGTACAGTTGCGTATTGTTGCGGGCACAGCGGTCCTATTGTCGAGCTGTAGTGTATTGTCTCCCGCAATGAGTTTTGAATCTTGCATCTCCTCCCGCAGGGAGTATGTATTGCCTATGGGAATTGCCCTCGCCCTTGAACTGTCTCCCGCAGGGAGTAGTGTACTGCATTGTCTCCCGCAGGGAATATTGTACTACACGTCCATCGGCCGACGCCCTGGCTGCAGTTCCGTCGCCTCTTCCTGCTCTCGCGGCGGAGAGAAGGGGCACAACCATTGCGTATGTGGATCGATGGGCATGCAGGTTGGAGGGGAGTGAAGGAGGAGAGGGAGAGAGAGAGAGAGAGAGACGGAGACAAAGAGATACCACATATATAGAGAGAGAGAGATGATTTCGACAGGAAGACTCTCAAGCTTCAGAGGGTGGGTTGATATATTTGTGTATGTGCAGGGATTGACACACATATAGATAATACAAATAGGCATATCTATACACGCATATATATATATGTATATATATATAGAAACATGATTATTCATTTGTTTTGTACGTGTGCGCACGTAAGCGTTTTCACACTTAATTGTATACATCACATCTGTACATCCATATCCATACATACAAGTGTATACACCATATCGGCGCCTGCACTCTAAATCATTACCCTGTGCAACCGTTGGGGTGCGACTTATGGTATGTAGCGAATGGGATGCAATCTATGGGTTGGACCTTGTCGGTAAGGATCCTATGGGTAGGGACGGTCTCCTCTTCCTGCTTCCGCGGCGGGGAGAATGGGTACAACTATTTACGCATGTGGATCGATGGACATGAAGAGTGGGGGAAAGTGAGGAGAAAGAGAGAGAGAGAGAGAGAGAGAGACAGAGAGAGAGAAATAGAGAGAGAGAGAGAGAGCGAGAGAGAGAGTGAGAGAGAGAACAACCAAAGAGACAACACATAACCAGAAAGAGAAAAAGAGAGACAGACAGGCCGACTCGCAAACTTCAGGGGAGGGATCGAGGTATCTGTGTACGTACAGTCATGGACATACATACATACATATCGATACGTCCGTACGTATTTTTGAATGTATGCTCGTATGTATATATATATATATATATATGCATGGCGTATATGCATACATATATACATTCATTCATGCATACATATATACATTTTCCACAAAGCGGCACACACACATCCATACATTTACCTATACGACCACCCTTCGGGTGATAAGGAGCTTCGGGGGGGGAGGAACCAATGTCTCACTCGATCGGTCTCACTATCGATCTCACTATCGATCTCACTGTCGGTCTCGCTCGATCGATCCAACTCGATCGATCTCACAATCGATCTCACCCGATCTATTTCATTCGATCGATCTCACAACCGATCTGGCTATCGATCTCACAATCGATCTCACGATCGATCTCACGATCGATCTCACAATCGATCTAACATTCGGTCTCCCTATCGATCTCACTATCGAGATCACAATCGGTCTCACAATCAACGTCATCATCATCATCAACATCATCGTCATCAACATCACCAACATCATCATCGGAACACCATCATCATCATCACCTCATCACCGTCATCATCAACATCATCATCATTACAATCAGCATCATCGGGACACCATCATCGTCAACATCATCATCAACATTATCATCATCGGAACACCATCATCATCGGCATCGGAACACCATCATCATCATCTCATCATCATCATCATGAACAACATCATCAACATCATAATCATCGGGACACCATCAGCATCATCACCAACATCATCCTCATCAACATCATCATTCTCATCGGGACACCATCATCATCGTCACCATCATCACCATCATCGGGACACCATCACCATCATCAACACCAACATCATCATCGGGCCACCATCAGATCAGCATCATCGCCTAATCACAATCCTCCTCCTCATCATCATTATCGGGACACCATCATCGTCATCATTATCGAGACACCATCATCATCAACAACATCATCATCAACCTCATCATTACCATCATCATATGGACACTGTCATCATCTGCATCATCATCAGCATCAGCATCTCATCATATCATCACCATCAACACCATCAGGATCATTACCATCATCATCGGGACACCATCATCATCATCAGCAACATCAACATCATCACAATCATCATCACCGGGACACCATCATCACCACCATGGCCATCATCATCACTATCATCATCATCATCAACATCGGGACACCATCATCATCACCACCATCACCGTCATCATCATCATCAACAACAAAATCATCAACATCATCATCAACATCATCATAGGGACACCGACGGGACACCGGCGGGACACCGGCGGGACACCGCGCCCCACCGGCCCCCGGAAAGGAAACATTTGGTCCGGCCGCGCCTCAGCCGGATGCGGGACACCGGCGGGACACCGCGCCCCACCGGTCCCCAGAAAAGAAACATTTGGTCGGCCGCGCCTCAGCCGGAGGAGACTTTCTTCTCGCCCGCCCACGCAGCTTCGCCTCGCCCACACGCACGGCACGCACGAACACGAAACCGAAACCGATTTCCCGGTAGGGGGGCTCTCCGTTCCACTTCGATCTCACCCCCTCACCTCCGATATACATACGCATGCACATACATACATCTGTATATACAGCGCGGCTGTTCCCATGCAGTTATATACGTACGCGCGCATGTATATATATATATACATATTACATCGATGTAAATACAAATTTACACATGCATACACATGTGTACGCCATATCGGCACCTGCGCTATGAACAATGACCCTGTGCAACCGATGGCGTGCGATTCATGGGATGTAGCGAATGGGGTGCGATCGATGGGTGGGACCTTGTCGGTAAGGATCCTGTTCTCTGACCGCAAACCAACAATTCCTAAGCGGACCCGTCATCTGACCGCACATGGCAAATCCTTAGGGGATCCAATCATGCGACCACCAGAACACATTGAAGCCGCCTTCGGGGAGATCATCGGGCCACGAGGGAGGGAGTCCTTAGGGACAGCATCACCTTGCCACAGAGTACGAGAGAGGCCTGTCTCGCACCGCCGCGCACCTATCGTGACGAAGAAGAGCCCACAAGAAGAGAGCAAGAGAGAGAGAGAGAGAGAGAGAGACAGAGAGATAGACAGAAAGAGAGAGAGAGAGGGAGAGAGAGAGGGAGAGAGAGAGAGAGAGAGAGAGAGGGCAGCGGCATCGCGGCGCCTTCCGGCCGGTGGACCACTGCGGCTCCTGCGCCCCTCTGCCCGGAAGCTGGCGCGCTGCGGGGCTCGGCGAGCACGGGCGGCCTTCCGAGCAGACCAGCCTCCAGCTCCGAGGTGCTCCAGAGGCGGACTGCCAGGGTTGGCCTCGAGGGCCTGTTTTTGTGGGCGGTGTCTGCGGGTGCTCCCCCGGCAGCCAGCTTTGCGAGCTTGTCCGTTCAGGAC